ATCATGTTCGATTACATTTTTTCGTAATTATTTACTGTATACAGGAAGATTACATTGTTGAAGTAAAACTTCTTTAGGCGCGACTAGGGTGTAAATCTGTGAGAATGCAACTGAAATGCGTTACGCTCGAACTGTACGTCATTCGTTCTCGATAATATCATTTCTATACGGGTTGGTTGTGATTAGTCGTCGTGTATTTGAATAGAGATCTGTCGGTGTATGCGACCGGCATCAACGTTGTATGCGTACTGATATCAGCAAGTAAATCGGCATAGATAAAAAAGCATTTTAAAGTTACATCGTAGTACAAATCTCGATTTAATGAAAAATGCCTGAGTCAGAAGAATATTTTATCCTGTTCCTTGAAAATAATAAAACAAATTAAACATTTGTGCCAAATGTAAGTTTATTGATTGAAAAAGATTTCTAAATCATTTGTAGTTTCTATAAATCTTTGAAGTTATTAAAATGGCAAATTTATTTTAGGCAAGACAGATATTACAGCTGTTCAAAGAATGAGATTATATCGCAAGCGAAAAAGTAAAAAAAAAAATTCAAGCAGTCAATGAATGTATGTTAATTTTAATTACATGAAGTTCTTCAAACGTTGTTTGACATAATCCACTGTGTGAACGAATATTATAGAATTTATAAATCAGCAATTACTTCATTTCTCTAATGAAGGTCCAAGTCCTAAATGCTAATTACAATGACAAACCAATCATGTCACATTTGAAGTATGACTTTAATTACATTATTGTTTTTAATTATTATACATATTTTTAATGCTATTATAAATATATAGATTATAATTTATCATTTTTATAAATGTGTATAATGATTGACGACACAAATGTGTGCATCACGAGTGTTACCATATTACTAAACATTATTCAAAATTGTTATATGATGTATTTATTTTAACTTAAATGCTATCTTGTACAGTTGCAAATAAGTTTTAACTTCAATCGCGTGTGAACCTTACGCGCACTCTTTTTTTCCCTCGCTCGTGTCAAAATATAAGTTATTAATTTATCAAAGAACTCGTGTGTCATTTACAAAAGTCTAACAAGTTACATAGTAACGAATCTTTGTAACCGTTACATAATCTTCATAATGGCAAAGTAAATATGTGCGTAATAATTCATATTTAAATAACTATGAAAAACGACGCACGTATATATATATATATATATATATATATATATATATATATATATTATTTTACTTTACGCCGACCCATTGTTTATAATAGTAATTGCATTGTGAATGGAATTAGTAGAACAAATAGTAGATAAAATGGTTTTGAACAAGTACTATTTGTTGCCAGTCGATTTTTCTGTCTTTTTTTATTTTAGGACAGTGCTGCATCCAATATATTAAAAAAAAACAGTTTATTTATTAAATGCCATTATAAATTCAAAATGATTTGTTAAGTCCATAGATGCAGCATTGATGAAAAATTAGATCTCCCTGAAAAGTAGTTGCTTTTTTGAACAAAACAGGCGCATTGATCTAACTAAGTTATACGTAGCATTTTGCTTTAAGGCAACTTACATGAACTTTCATTTACGTGTAAATAATTAACTTCATCTTTAAAAAATAAGATTTGGCTATTTAGATAAAATGTTCACAGCAAATATTTTTTAAAAGTTGCACTAGTTTCTGTGTAACGAGTTATATTCAAATATATTTTTTACGAATCTAAATTCTCATTTTAACTGTATCCGCGAAATGGGGGTCAACGTTTCCATTTCCAATGACGTCGATCTGGATCTGATTTGGATTCGTTGCATGCATAATTAATTATTCACCATTATTCATTTGTCGATTTTTTTTATTCATCATTTGTCGATTTGATACAGATATATAAATATAAATAATAGTAACACAACCGAAGAGAACGGTTTTGTGTGTTTTTGTCGATTTCGGTTTGAATTTTTGGGCGCGGCGCTCGGAAAAAGTTCCATGACCGAGATAAATCTTTATAAAAGAAATATAACAGTTGTTCTACATATGCTATATTACAATTACAACAAATATTATTTTGACAATTTCACTCATCATGTAATAGTTGTGTTTGAAAAACTTCATGTAATTAAAATTAACATACATTCATTGACTGCTTGTATTTTTTTTACATTTTCACTGGCGATATAATCTCATTCTTTGAACAGCTGTAATATCTATATTGTCTAAAAATTCCATTTTAATAACTTAAAAGATTAATAGAAACTACGAATTATATAGAAATAATTTCTAAGGAACAGAGTAAAATATTCTTCTGATTCAGGCATTTTCCATTAAATCAACATTTGTACTACGATATAACTTCAAAATGTTAATTTGTCTATGCCGATTTCCTTGTTGATATCGGTACGCATACACGACACGACTAATCACAATCGACCCGTATAGAAATGATCTCATCGAGAGCGAATGACGAATTATTGGCACTCGACTCTCATTTTATCTTATCTGCCGTAACGCATTTCCGTTACATTTGTGTGGATTTACACCCTAGTCGCGCCTAAAGAAGTTTTACTTCAATAATTAGATATTTGTGCAACGATTTGGATGCACGTTTTGGACAACCTGATGTCAAGTAATCCATTTATTATAAAAGTTAAATTTGTATTATAAAACTTTCTTGTTTACTTTCAATCAATTACCCGAACCAGTTTCTTGTTCAATACTTTGTCTCCATATAAATTCATTTTCCTGAACGTTCTGTTCCGGTTTGAAACTGTAAATAACGATTAAATGTCACATGTCACATGTCGGTCGTGACAAAAACTGATTTTCCCACATATTATTATTGCATTGAAGCGAAATGACCATAAAAATGCCATCTATAAATTATCGAGTGATTACATGCAATCAAATTGTGAAACATTTCTATTCAATTACGTTTTTCTTGACGAGAAAATTAATAAATATCAAACTAGTTTAATGGCACCGCTTTGCAAATATAGATTACGAAATTGCATCATGGTAGTAAGAATTATTATCTGGGAAGGAATGGAATATTTTATGGTAATTGATTCATGGTATTGTATTAATGCCCAAATAAGGAATGATAGAGAAGGTTTAGGGTAAAAAGGTTCACCATCACTCCAAGGGAGGCGTCCATTAATCACGAGATCAATTTTTTTAGGATTTTTAAACTCCCCTCCCCCAACATTATGTGTATTTTAGTTACGAGAAAAAATTGTAAAACTTTTGAATTTTTTTGGAAATGTTTGGATGTTTTTAAAAAATTCAGGGTGAAAATAAATACACGTGATATCTTACTATAACCCTTCCTCCACGTGATACTTCGTAATTTTTTGTCCTAAACAAGTAAGTATGGTGTTTCTCAAAGATACTATTTTAAAGTACAGTGCAAAAAGATTTTTTTTCGTTCACTGTTGGTGAGTTTACAATACCTGAATATAATTTTACGTATACAGTGATTCATAAGATGTTTGGTTATTTTGAATTTAGATTCTTAGCTTACATGAGTTTGGGTAAAAAGGAACACCTGAACAAAAATACATACCAAAGCAAGATTTATGAAAGTACTAAGTGTTGATAATGATTTTTGTCCCTGGAATATTTTAATGATTCATAATTGATTGATATTAGATTAATTTTTACGAAACCACAACAGTTATTTTAAAGCATTTTCAAGTTTTCAAGTTATAGTAATAGCAAAAAATCGAAAATGAAGTTTTTTGCATATCTTTACGTTTCGAAAGTTTCTGAACATTTTGGGTGTATGTGTGTGTGTGCGTGTGTATGTGTGTTCGGATACAAATATCGTCGACGATTTCGAGAACACCGATCAACCGATTTGAATAATTCAAAAAACATTCGATTCCTTTGATAAGGAGACGTGTTGGTTAGTTTTTGGCATAGGCAGGTCTAGCTGTTTCGGAGATACGGGCAAAAAGCACCACAAACGGTAATTCAGTTTTTAAGAGAACGGAGCGTCCAATTTGAATAAATCAAAAAAACATTTTATTTGTTTTGACTAAACAAAGAACTGTTTAAATTTTTGGGAAGGCAGGTACAGCGGTTATGGATTCTCAATAAAAATAAGTTTAAAAAATGACATTAGGCAGTCAAAAATGTTTATTGGGCATATGTACATCAAATAATCAGGTATTTTATAAAGTTTTTAATTATTATATTATGTGTAAATTTTTTTGGGTTTCGTACTAAGATTTTTAATTACGGTACGGAAAGTTCCAGTAATTTGCCTTAAGGCACGATGCCATGCACCCCACTAGTTTGATATAAATTTCCACTTTAAATTGTTTGAAAAGTGGGTTAATTATAACTTTTTTAAAAAAATTTTTAGGTTCAACTCGAATAGAATTTAATCCTGAATATAATGAATTTTGTCTCGTTTCGATAGGACGTTTGGTTTTTACTTATTTTTCCCTCCAATTAGGAAGAATCCAAAAATTTCAAAACCGAGAAATTTTGCTTACTTACTATCTCTTTTGTAAGCCCCAAAATAATTTGAATTTGTTGCTGAAATTCTAGGGATATATTCTTAGCTTACTTTGGAAGGCATTTTTCCGAAAAAAAACGATTTTTAAGCCTCTAAAGCAGACCCATATATATAATAATAAATATAATAATAAATTGAGGTTATGTTAACAAAAAGTAAAATGCAATAATATAAATTTTAAATTTTGTATAATAAACTTACTCTGTGATTGACCAATATACTCGTCACGGGCTATATATACTCGTTCGATCACAACACCACATTTAACTGGTTATTAAAACGTAATTTAAATATTATTAAAACGTATTTTTTGTTCAAATTCAATATGGCTGTTACTTGTCAAATGAATAAATATTAACTAACGACATCTATCTTGTCTACTAATCTCTGATGTTGGCACGATCGTTATCACCTGTCAATTTCGATTAAGCTGAAGTTGTTAGTAAAACAAAAACATGGCGGTACTCAATAAAATGTGGCTCCGAAATTTGTAAATTTGTTTGCATTTTTTCAAAAAAACAAAGTGTTGAACTGTATATATTAATGTAAATATGTGAGTGCCCGCGTTTGTTTATATTCCAAGACTCTGTATGTGAATAAACACGTTGTAAACTTACGTAGTATGTTATGTGAAAGTGCGCCTATTTCTTTACACGCCATGTTTTTGACAATTATCACAAAAACAAAATCGAAAAGTAAAATAGATCATTCATGATCGCCTGTTATGTTTTAGAACATTAGTTTACGTGCGTTTAGTATTTCAGTTTAGTGAAAAACCAATCAATTCTATTAGTCAAAATGATTGAAACGGCTCAATTTTCTCAACCCCCTCCGAATTTATCGGCGCCTCCGCCGAATTTGCAAATGCCGCCGCCTAATATGTCGATGCCCCCTCCGAGTTTGGGGACACCGACAAATCCACAAGCTAGGCCACCTTTTCTTAACAATAATCAAAATAGAGTAACGCCACAAACACATTTTTATAAACCGTTCCCCGGGATCTTTCCGAGGGGGCCGACTGGAGGACCCATGACACAAGATGATTTTGACGGGAAAAGACTTAGAAAATCTGTGATGAGAAAGACTGTTGATTATAATGCAGCTATAATAAAAGTACTACAAGTAAGTATAATCTTTAATCACTTTTATTTAATCTTACACATGCATTAGTAAATGTAACTTTAATTATTTGACAGAACCGTGTGTGGCAAAGAGACTTTAGAGATAGACAAGCCTTACAGCCTGATCCAATGTACATTCCAGACTTACTGCCTCCGCCAAGTTATCCTGAAAACCCTATAAATGCAGTAACGACAAAGTAAACATCCAACATACAAACTACTCAACAATTTAACCACAAAATATAACCTTAAATTATTCTATTTCTTCAGGTTTGTTAAAACTGCTACAAATAAAATGAGATGTCCCATTTTCACTTTGGCATGGACGCCCGAAGGTAGACGTTTGGTGACAGGCGCTAGTTCAGGAGAGTTTACATTATGGAACGGACTTACATTTAATTTCGAAACGATCCTACAGGTATTCTACAACCCCACAAATAATAATTCTTAATCTAATCCATTGCATTATTGTGTCTTTTATCACAGGCGCATGACACTCCGGTGAGAACCATGGTCTGGTCGCACAACGACAACTGGATGGTGACTGGGGATCACGGTGGCTTTGTGAAGTATTGGCAGAGCAATATGAATAACGTGAAGATGTTCCAAGCGCATAAGGAACCGCTGAGAGGCATCAGGTATAGACAACCTCCATGAAAATCTCAACGTACTACAAAACTACATGTATGCAAAATAAACCGATGTCTGATTCTGTATGTATAATTATAGAAATTCTTGTCGACGATTTTTTTAGCGGGGGAGGGAAAGGGACCCATGTTTATTTATACAGTTAATATTAGCAAAGAAAATTCATATATTTCGAATTTTTAATTGGGAATATTTATTTTTTCTAATTTGTTTCCTGGATGTGGGTTTTCGTTTTTTATTATATTACATTTCTGTTGGTTTGTGTTCAAATATATACACAAAGCATAAACCAATTGTGTACATAATACTACACCCCTGCCTGTCTACTTATCTATCGACCGATTGTCCAACGTGATCTCAAATATATATCTGTGCTCTCTGTATATATATAATATTTGATTGAATAAATAAAGAAAATATAAAATTTATTCATAATGTTAGAGATACATTTGTACCTGATTAAAATAAAATTATATCTGTGATATGATGAATATGATCAATAAAAGTGGCCGAGATTAATAATAATAAAATAATAATAATTAATAATAAATAAATAAATAAAGTTGATATAATTTTAGCATTTGGATGAGGCGATTTTGTTATTTTTTCTATTAGACATGTACTTTATGCAAAATAAAGTAGTGTTCTTGAAACGAAATCATTGGTTTTTATTTATAAAGTAAATTTTAAATATTTTTTCAAAGTAAAGTCCGATTCTTTTCAGTTATTGCTAGTTTGTTTTTTTGCCTTCACGAGATCAATTGTGCAATATTTTCGTTTTGGGTGTCTATACAGCTTGTCAAGGTTTGGAATATATTTTACATCGACATATTTATTTCTTGTACATGTTTTCCAAGAATAATAAACAAGCAAAAAGTTTAATATGAATATCATCGAAATGTAATTTGAAGAAAGAAAACTTCTCAAGAATAAAACAACAATGTTTAAGTTATGAATTCTACATGATAGGATATATTTTTATACGTTTATACAGAAACACTCAAATATTTAATTTTAATCACTGATTTTTTTTTACTGAGTTCAGATGATAAATGAACTAAATATTAATCCCTTCGAATTAAATTAGAAACTAGTGGGGTGTATGGCATCGTGCTTTAAGGCAAATTGCTGGAACTTCCCGGATCGTAACGAAATGCTCGAGGAATACTGAATGTTTTCAAATAGTTTATTATAAATATTGTAACATTGTCTAATATTTATAAGAATTATATAAACTGAATTGCAAATTTAAAACTATTTGTTTAAGTTATATTAGAACTTTAGTCAGAATAAAAATAAAATCTGAATTATTTTCGATATACAAAAAAAAAAAAATCTACAAATTTTTTTTTTTCAAAATCATTTATTTTGTTAAGACAAGCAGAAAGTTTTTTGAATCATTTAAATCGGACGCTTAGTTCTCTCAAAAACTGCCTGCCTTTGCCAAAAACTAATAAACACTTCTCCCAATCATTACTAATTGAATGTTTTTTAAATCATTCAAATCGGATACTCCGTTCTCTCAAAAAGTCGATTTCTATTTTCTGCACTCTTTGCTCCTTATCTCCGTAACTGCTGGACCCTGCCTTTGCCAAAAACTAATCAGCACATCTCCCTATCAATAGGAATCGAATGTTTATTAGTTTGTGCAAGTTTATGCGTTCGCCAGAAATACCAATTTTTTGTTTTCTTGAAGTTTCAAGTTATTCTGAATCGTTTGACGCAGAAATTGGAAGAAGTATGTATGCGTGTGTGGAAACTCGATGAGGATTTGCGTTAAATGATAAATCTACTATATTAGGTGAAAGTGGCATTTTGTATTGAGGCAAGTTGCTTAATCTTCCGGATATATGTATGTTAGGGCGGACCGATTTAAAAGTCGCTAAGGCACATATGATTTTCGGATCCTAGGGATCAAAATAAGATACTTTGCTGAAGAAACCATACCTCTAAAATAAATTCTGATGGGGGTCGGTCATACATTTGGACACTATTGGGGCGCTCTAAATGATCCAAAACAGGACTTCACAAAATTTGTCTCAATCTTTGGGTGAATGCACATCAAAATTCATTTTAGAGATATGGGTTCTTCGGCTAAGTATCTTATTTTGATCCCTAGTATCCGAAAATCATATGTGCCTATGCAATTTTTTTTTACATAATCGATAGTTTTGTTAAATTTTGTAGGCCCATAATATTTTACATTTATTTAGTCCATAAACGAAGGCTTACAATTAATTACAAGCACGTTTTCCAATGGACATCTTCCAAACAGTCCTTCCTTTCAAAATCCATTTCTTGGCGATAACTTTGATTAAAACTGCAAAATTGTGCTAATTCTATAAAAACATTGTCCAAAAGTTAAAATTTGGTTATCATACTTTTTAACTTCAAAAATTCTAGATCAATTTGATGAAACTTCATAAGAACTAATTTTTGCGCAATCACCGATCTAGTTTATTGAAAAAAAAAAATCTATCAATCAGAAAGTATTTCTAGTGCTAATTATAGGCATAAGAAAAGTAGTTCAATTATAAAAAATCATTAAAGTTCGTTTGAAGGAGACACTTTCGAACATACACCACGTATTTTCTAAGCACGTGTTGGTTTTTTTTTTTGTTTAATAATTTATAACATTCATAATATTTGCCGAATAAAACCCCTATAGCAACTCAGTATACTTGTAAATCGTTCATAAATTAACAATGATTTTTTATTGATCAAGTCGATTATTTACACAGGAGGCATAAGGCAAAATGCCACTTACACCTAGTTTTTTTTTTTTGAAAAAAAAAACGAAATTTTAAACACATCGTCATAAAAAAATATTTTTTTCATGGAAAAAGATGCTTTAGAAAATAATATAAATCACAAACGTTTCGAGTCTACTGTTTACAATTAATTAATTTTGAAATTATTAATATTAAATTAATAAAGATTCTCAAACTATATGGTCAAAAGATTTTAAAGTCATTTTACTTGCCTATTTCAGAACAGGTGTAAAAACTACAATATAATAAAAAATCAATACATTTTGGTAACAATATACATAATTCTAAAAAATCTAGTAATTAAATCTTTATCTATTTACAATCAAACACTGATGGTAGACAATATAGTCTCGAAACGTTTGCAAACTTTCTAATAAATCGTAATTAGAAAATTAATTTTATATATTGTTTACTCACAATAATAATAAATGCATGCGAAGAAAATAAGTCTCCAGATTAGAAATTAATATTTTAACTAATTTAATTTTAATTAAATAATTGAACTAATAATTGAAACTAAAACTTGGGTCTTCCATTAATATCATTTTGAATGATATGTTTATTATGATTATTTGTATATATTGTTAATATCCGTGTATGAAACTGTCAGAAGATTGTTTTCCGTTTTTGTGTTTGTATGTTGGCAGCTTCAGTCCGACCGACTCCAAGTTCGTTTCCTGTTCGGACGACGGAACTCTCAGGATTTGGGACTTCATGAGGCACCAGGAAGAGAAAGTGCTCAGAGGTAATCAAAATAATGACAATAATAAAATATATATCTTTTGAAGAACTTTCAATGTGAAATAAATTATTATTTATTTACCTAATTATTTATTTATATAAATAAATTCAATCATTTTGCATAGCAAAACATGGTGGTGCTCCAGAATGATTTTTTTAACGCAGTAGAAGGTAGAATGTCTGGTGATGATTTATAATAATTATAAGATATATTTTATGTAGGCAGAGCCCGTTGTAGTGAACGTGGGCTAGTTATTTGAAGTCCGGCTTTAAACTCGGTCAGCTCGGTATCAAGCAGTACGATACCGGATTTTCACTTGAAATTGTTGATCTCAAACTTTGGTCAGATCGATATCAAGCAGTCTGATACCAGATTTTAATATCAAATATGATTATAGTGAAAATGAACTTTCAAGGCATTACTGTTATTCAAAGTCCCTGGTTCGATTTCAACTTCCGTCAGCTCGGTATCAAGCAGTATGATACCGGATTTTTACTTGAAATTATTGATCTTAAATATGATTATAGTACAAGTGAACTTTCAAGGCATTGCTTTAATTCAAAGACCCTGGTTCAATTCCAACTTCGGTCAGCTTGATATCAAGCAGTGTGATATTCGATAATAAAAAATAATTTATATTTTATGAAGGCTGAGTCTGTATTAGTGAATTTGGTCTAGTAATTAATTTATTTATTTATTTTACAAGCCGTCAGTATAATGTTATAATAGGGCTCAAGTCAATACTTTGCAGATTTAATATAATTTAATTAATTATTAACTATTTTTCAATAAGCTTTACAATACTTTTACAATATAATTATTTTGTTTAACAAATTTTAGGTTATTTTATGATATTTTAACAAATTTATAAGTGTCTTATATTATACTTATTTTTTTTCAAACAAATTGATAAGTATTTTTTACAATATAAGTATTTCCTTTTACAAATTTTTAGGTATTTTAATGCAAGAAATATTTTGTTTCACAATTTTTCATGTATTTTATTTCAAAATCTCGGGTTCGATTTTAAACGCGTTCAGCTCGGTATCAAGCAGTATGATACCGGATTTTCACTTGCAATTATTAGAACAAATATTTTTGTAGTGTTAGTGAAATGAATTCAAAGTCACTGGTTCAATTTCAACTTTGCTCAGATCGATATCAAGCAGTATGAGATGCAAATTATTAATTTCAAATATGATTATAGCGAAAGTGAACTTGCAAGGCATTTTTGTAATTCAAAGTTCACTGGTTTCAAGTCGGTCAGCTTGATATCAAGCAGTATGATACCGGATTTTTATTTAAAATATGACTATAGTGGAAGTGAACTTGCAAGGCATTATTGTTATTCAAAGTTCCGGTTTCAATTTTACCCTGGTCAGCTCGGTATCAAGCAGTATGATACCGGATTTGTACTCGATTTTTACGGCTGACAAATGTGAATTCCCCAAATTTATTAAATGTCCTTAAGTGGACAGTTGTAAATAAAATAGAAAATAATAAAAAAAAATATATGGTTATAGTGGAAGTAAAATTTCAAGGCATTACTTTAATTCGAAGACCTGGTTTCGGTTCCAACTACAGTCAGATCGGTATCAAGCAGTATGATACCGGATTTTCACTTGAAATTATTATAGAGAAATATTAATTATTAATATGATTATAGGGAAAGTGGAAGTTTAAGACATTACTGATTCCCAACTTCGGTCAGATCGATATCAAGCAGTATGATAACGGATTTTTACTCGAGATTTTTATTTTCATATTAAATTTTATTGAAGTAGACTATATCTAATATAATTGCTATACAAAATAGGATGGTCGACCACTGGGTTGCCTTATTTTGAAATAATACATTAAGTCTTCAAACAAACAGCTACAATGAAAAAAAAACGATGCCCTTAGTTAATTGTTAAATATTTGAACGAATTTGTAGAAATTCAGAGTATATAAATTTTCACTCGAGAAATTATGTGACAAACTACCTAATTTTATTATTTAGCTATATATAATTAATAACAAAACATAGTTCATTTTATGTTCTTCCTAGTATGAATGATGACACACATACAGTGTCGAAACGTACAAAATGAACAAATCAAGTTTTTTTTTATTCCAATTTTGTTCAAAAAAATTCAAGAATCTAAACTATTATTTATTTCTCTTAGGTCATGGTGCAGATGTAAAATGTGTCCATTGGCATCCACAAAAAGGTTTGATAGTATCGGGAAGCAAAGACAATCAGCAACCCATCAAATTATGGGACCCGAAGAGTGGACAAGCTTTAGCCACACTGTGAGTAGTAATATAAATACATCGAGTAAATATAAACATTGTCAAATGCCATTTTTAAAACTTTAGTAATAATATATTTCGATAAGTTGATAATTTCAATATTATTGTTATATTGTTGTCTAATTCTAGTCATGCACACAAGTCGACTGTTATGGATTTGAAGTGGAACGATAATGGTAACTGGTTGATCACAGCATCTCGTGATCACTTGTTGAAATTGTTTGATTTGAGGAATATGAATCAAGAATTACAAGTAAGGGATTAAAATTATATATTCAATTTAACATCACATCGAATAAGTAATATAACTAGCTGTAAGTGGAATTCTGTCTTAAGGCAATTAGGGCATCGTGCCTTAAGGCAAATTGCTGGAACTTCCCGTACCAAAAATTATCATTTTTTTAAAAACGATTAACAATTTTGAAAAAAAATTACTTCGAAAAACTATAAATTTGACAAAATTATACTTTTTTTTGAAAAAAAAAATTTTTTTTTTTTTTAAATCTTTTTTTTTTGAAAAAAAATCTTTTCTTTATTTTGACATATGTTGGAAGATCTGAACTTTTTTTCAAAGCAATCGTACTGCTTTAACTGCATAGAGACGAAATATAAAGCGCGAAAGCGCCGCGTCGCTGTCTAACGGATAAGCATTGGTACGGAACCCATAGGAATGTAAACAAAATTTATACTTATTGTTAAAATCTCTATAAAATATCTGATAATTTGATGTGCATATGTCTAATGATCATTTTTGACCGCCAAATGGCATTTTTTTTTACTTTTTGCGTTAGATCCCCGAAACCGCTAGACCTGCCCTTATGAAAATTTGATGAAATCTTCATCTTGTCAATACAAGTAAAATGTTTTTTGAATTATTAAAATCGGACCGTTTTTGGCACTTTTTGCCCCGTATCTTCGGAACGGCTAGGCCTGCCTTTGCCAAAAACTAATCAGCACGTCTCCTTATTAATACGAATCGAATGTTTTTTGAATTATTCAAATTGCTTCATCCGTGTTCCCGAAATCGTCGACGAAAATTTGTATCCGCACACACATACATACACGCGCACACACACACACACACACACATACATCCATTTTTTCTAAGGTATGCCAAAATATTTAGAAACCTCTGAAACGTAAAGATATATAAAAATTTTCATTTTCGATTTTTTTGCGATTACTATAACTTACCCTACGGGAAGTTAAAAAATCAAGAAGTTGAAAATTGATATTCTTTATAATGACTATCTCCTAATATTTTATACCGATAACAATTTCATTTTAAGATACTTTTTGCTGAAAGCCCGAAAAGTCTTATTTTCATGAACTCTTCTAACAGTGTTAACACAAGATCAGATCATAAACTTATTTATGATTAAATATAAATTTTCTGCGTTGCAAAAATCTGCAATATAATATAATGCACTCTCTTTCTTCCTTCTAGATTTTCAGAGGTCACAAAAAAGAAGCCAGCTCCGTTGCCTGGCATCCAAATCACGAAGGACTATTCTGTTCTGGCGGATCTGATGGTTCTATTTTATTCTGGAATGTTGGGTACGCCTTTATTAAAACCATTTTACACCATCATTTCTTTATACTAATCTAACTACTTTATACTTTTACTTCAGTACTGATAAAGAAGTCGGAGCAATAGACACTGCACACGATTCCATCGTTTGGACTTTGGCATGGCATCCTTTGGGGCACATTTTATGCTCAGGTTCCAACGATCATACAATCAAATTTTGGACAAGAAATCGACCAGGAGACCAGATGAGGGACAAATATAATCTGAACACGCTGCCTGCAGGGTTGGCGGGACTTGACGAAATTGACCTCGGTGAGATAAAGGATACATTATTACTAAATTTAGGTTTTACGACGAAGTGGTTGCATTGGTTTCTCTGATATGATTCCTTTTTGCAGATGAGCCTTCGGTTATCCCCGGAATGGGTCCAGAAGACAAAATAGAAATAGCTGATAGTTTACCATCGTTTCTGGGAGGATCTGGTGGTGCTATACCAGGACTTGATTTGGATACATCTCTTATTGCTGGTTTAACGGATGATAAGTCAAAGGCGAAGAAAGTGCCATATGCTAAGCCTATACCAAGAAACTTCCAAGCGCAATGGAACGACACTGGCAAAAATGATGATGGTAATAATAACAATATATATATATATATATATATATATATATATATCCTCTTATATATAAAAATGGAGCTCTCGATGAAATAATGATTCGCTAAAACTCGAAAAACTTGAAAGATTCGTGCTAATCAGTAGGTTGTCGGAAAGGTGAGATTATTTTAAAATCGCGTAGAAACTTTACATTTTTAATTTGAAAATTTTTGTAGAAGCGTAATTTGAATAAATAAATGGACGATGGCTCATACGTCAAATATCAAATGTTTTTAACAGATGATTTTCAATTACGTTTAATAGGATGTTTTTCGCGAATATTATTTAATTATGATTAAATTGTAGTAAGTAGTTTTGTTTGTAGTTTTATTTATACACAAAAACGTTATTGAACGGATTACTAGAAACTCAAAATATCAACTTTTTTGAAATGTTAATATGAAAATGCACTTTTTGGCATATTTTTCTCAAACACGGTGCTCTGAAAGATCTTATTTGTATAATTATATACTCATTGGTATTTATAAAACATTTTCTAGGTTATATTATTTTTTATTTATGTTATTTACATTCAGATCCTAAATTTGATATCGATCAAAGGGACATTTTGTCGAATAACATTTTCCCAGTTATAATTTTCCAGAATTTATCAAAGAATAGATAGTAATATATGAAGGTCCGGGGTTAAAAAGGTCCACCATCGATGTGTCAAAAACCAGAAAAGTTAAGCATTGTTTAACAACAATATTTGAAAGTAGAGGGAAAAAGATGTATAACCAGCTATAACCTTGATTCTTATGACTTTTCAGGTTGAAGAAGAAATACCTAATTAATTTTCTATCACTCCTCGCAAAAATTTAAATATTTTGTATAAGCTCAGTAGTATTATTTACAATTATACATAAAATCCAAAATCCAAAAAGAATCTGAAAAACTTAAAACGTAATCAATAAGTCGAAAGACCAAAAATGACTTGGATTGGATTATACCATGTTTTCTATAGAAAGTGTATAAAACTTCCAGTTTGATTGTATTAATAAAATATAGACAAACTAATGAAGTTTATAATACCTCATTGTATATAGCATTCAAACAACACATCCTTATACTTAAAAGTATTAATTTTATTGATTCTCTAGAAATTGTTTAGAATATACCTTACTTAGCAAAACAACGTTTGCCGGGTCAGCTAGTATATATTTTTTAATTATCAATTATTATTATCTTTTACCCCAGATGAAGAAGCAACACAGAATGAAATCAAAGAAGCCATCACACAAATTGTGGAAAATACACCAGGAGTAGTGCCTTTACAAAATATTACACCGACAGGCATAATTTTGTATGGAAAACTTGTACCAGTCAAACGTAAGGATACAAAATTTGAATTTGTTGATGCATATTGTGAAGCTGGTGTTGAAAATGTTTTTTTTTTTTTTTGCAGCTGGTTCCAAATTGCAAGCTGCTATTGCCGAAGGTCCTGAAGCCTTGGAGAAATATATTGCTAAGGGAGAAATTGAGGAGCTGAGAGATGTTTTGCCTCAGGATGGAAAAGAGGTAAAACAAGTTGATATATATATATATATATATATATATATATATATATATATCGACATATTGTTGCATTCATTGTTATTATTTATGTATATGCAGCAGATTATGAAATTTAATAAAAAGTAACTATAAAATTAAAACAAAAAACATGGAAAAATTGAGCAATATAAGTTTAATGATAAAAATATCAGAATTATCTGAATAAGGAGCTTTTTTTTAATTAAATGTGGATTAACAGACATCCGTTTTCCTCATTCCAATAGATAGCAACTCTTGCATACGAAATTTCGTTACGTTGGAATTTCACAATCAAATCAGAATTTGGTGTTCGATTTTTGATAACATTAAAATGTTCAATTTTTCATATTTGTCAAGTCTATCTGAATAATCTCTACCTATCTACCTCTTTAACAATAAATGTATATCGATTAGAATAATTCACAAAACATTTAACTTATTAAAAGGATTACATTTTTAGAAAGCAAAAAAAAATTACCATCAGTTGATGTTCAAAAATAATAATTATATAATTCAATAATAATAATAATTTGTAATGATTATTTTGGACCACCAAGTGGCATTTTTTTGACATATCCAAAAACCCTTGGCTCTACCTTTGCAAAAATGTAGTCAATTCTTCATTCCGATAATACAAGTAACTAGTGGTGTATGGCACCGTGCCTTAATGCAAACTGCTGGAACTTCCTGTACCGTAATGGAATATTCGAGGAATATTAAATGTTTTCAAATAAATTAAGAGTTATATAAACTGAATTACAAAGTTAAAATTATTTATTTAAACTTCAGCCAGAATTAAAATAAAAATGTGATTTATTTTCAATATACAAAAAAAATTAGAAATATTTTTTTCCAAAAACAAATGTTTTGCCAACAAGCAGAATGTTATTTGGATCATACAAATCGTTCACTCAAAAATTCGATTTCTATTTTCTGCACTTTTTGCTCCATTTCTCCGTAATGGCTGTACCTGCCTTTGCCAAAAACTAATCGGCACATCTCCCTATTAATAGGAATCGAATGTTTTTTAAACCATTCAAATCAGTTGATCCGTGCGCCCGAAAACGTGGACGAAAAATGCGGACACACAATACACACACACATCCATGTTTTCCAAAATGTTCAAAAACCTCTGAAACGTGAAGATTTGCAAAATTTTTCATTTTCGATTTTCGGCCCATTTCTTTAACTTACCCTATGGGAAGCAAAAAAAAATGTTTGAATCATTCTAGTAGGATGCTTTATTCTTTCGAAAACTGGCATATTTTGCACTATTTTCTTCGTATTTCCAAAAAGGTGGGACCCTTCCTTTCCCAAAAACTAGTCAGATTTGGAACGTAAAAATATCAGAAAAAATTATTAACTACTCGTAGGGCAAGTTATAGTAATCGCAAAAAAAAATCGAAAATGAAAACTTTCATATATCTTTACGTTTCAGAACCTTCTGAACATTTTGGCATACCTTAGAAAAAAAGGATGTATGTGTGTGTGTGCGGATACAATTTTTAGTCGAAGGGATTTGAATAATTCAAAAAACATTTTACTTGTATTAACAAGATGAAGAACTGGTCAAATTTTCATGAAGGCAGGTCTAGCGGTTTCGGAGATCTAGTAAAAAAAGTAAAAAAAAAATGCCATTTGGCGATCAAAAATGATCATTAGACATATGGACATGAAATTATCAGATATTTTATAGAGATTTTAACAATAAGTATAAATTTTGTTTACATTCCTATGGGTTCCGTACCAATGTTCATCAGTTAGACGGCGACGCGGCGCTTACGCGCTTTGATATTTCGTCTCTATGCAGTTAAAGCAGTACGATTGCTTTGAAAATAAGTTCAGAACTTCCAAAATATTTTAAAATAAATTTTTCTTCAAAAAGCCTTTTTTTTCCCAAGTTTCTTAAAAATCTAATTTTTTCAGAGTAATTTTTTTTTCAAAAATGTTAATCTTTTTTTAAAAAAAATAATTTTTGGTACGGGAAGTTCCAGCAATTTGCCTTAAGGCACGATGCCATGCGCCCCACTAGTTTGCAAATTTTATTTGTAAAACTCACAGTTGATTTTTTTTTCTATTTGCAGAGGACTCGTTCCAGAATAACAATTGGCAAAGACGGCAGTCCAATAGTGAAAAAATCACGTTTCTCAGATGCAGTAGATCCTAAGCCTACATTCATCTACGGAGATCGTTACAATAACGCTCCCATAATCGAACAGCCCGACTTCAAACTACAAAATAAAAACTTCTTCAATACCCCGCAGAATAAACCAAACAACCAAGTCATTAGCAATAACTCTCATAACAATTCTGGGAACGACAGGAATTTACCACCTCTCTTCGACAATCCAAATCAAGGTGATAACATGGATAATAACAGATTTCGAGATGAACCCATGAACCACAATGATTTCAATTCCAACAATGGAGGTGGAGACAATAACATGTCTTCAAGGTTTGATTTCGATAGCAATAATTCCCAACAGTTTGGTCAAAAATCTCCTGCAAATACCCGATGGGGCAGCAACAACCAGCAATCACCACAACCGTGGCAAAATCAACAACAAACACCACCGCATAATTTCAACATGAAGTTCCCACCAAACTTTAGACCACCCATGAACTTCCCTAACCAAGGCCCACCACCAGGCGGACCTTCTCCAGGTGGTCATAATCAGAATCAAAATCCTCAAATCATGGTCCACCGAATGGAAGTCCCCAGAACAGGATGATGGGACCCCCGCCAGGAGGCAATTGGATGAGAATGGACTTCAGGCCCAGAGGAGGTCCTCCGTTCAATATGAACCAAGGTCCACCTCCAAGAGGAATGATGCGTGGAGGTCCTCCCATGAGAGGAGGCCCCGGAGGCCCTGGACCGAGGTTGTTCGGACCCAGACCAGGGATTCAAAGAGGCAGAAACAGATTTTAGAATTGTCGGACTATTTCTTGTGAAGTGTTGATGATGAACATTGCATTGTTTGCAATTTTATGTGAATAATAGTGAATAAGATGAACCAATAAGAAGCGATATGATTGTGTTATATTATACAAAATGTATTTAGAATGTATTTTTTCATAATATATTTTAATTAGGATAAGTTTTGTGAAGCTGATAATCGAGATGGGCATAGAACTTATAGCATTGTTTTTATGTTTTGATTTGAAGAATATACAAATTGTTTACATGGATGAATAATTATTAAGTAATAAATGATTTAAAGAAAATCTGAGTAATGATTTAAAATATATAAAAATCTGTTCACATACACATACACATACACATACTTTTTCCTTAAATTTGGTCTCATTCGATTCAGAATGGCTTGAAACGTTGAGAAAACATAAAATTAGCGAGTCGGATTTTTTGATGAAAACATAAACTTCTCCTTCGCGAAGTTAAAAAATGTAATTACTAATATGATTTTAGACTTTGTAGACCAATATAAAAATTTTAAAAGCCGTTTAATGAAATTCGATAAAAACTTGCGTTAATAAGTTTTGCAGAATGTTATAGATTACATGAAAGTGTTGTTAGATATCTGAATATATTGTCAATTTTATATATGTTGCAAATTGTCTTTATAGGTAGTAGATTATCTGGAAATGTTATTATAGATTGTTTGAGAAAGATATCGTTATCGATGGTTTGAAAGTATTGTACATTGCCTGAGAATTTTGTAGATTGTCTGATGATATTGCATATTGTCTGAAAATATTTCAAATTATCTGAGAATGTTGTAGATTGACTAAAAATATTGTAGATTATCTGAAAATATTACAAAATTGTCTAAAAATGAAGTAGATTGATTAAAAACTTTGTGGATTATTTGAAAATGTTGCAAATTTTCTGAATATATTGCAAAATTGTCTAAAATTGAAGTACATTGATTTAAAACTTTGCGGATTATTTGAAAATATTGTAGATCAACTGAAAATATTGCAAAATTGTCTAAAAATGAAGCAGATTGATTATAAACTTTGTGGAATACTTGAAAATATGGTATATTTTTTGAAAAAGTAGTCAATTATATAAAAATATTGTAGAATGTTTGAAAATGTTATCAATTATATGAAAACGTTGTAGATTGTTTGAAAATGTATTTGTATGAGAATATTTTAGATTGTTTAAAAATGTTCTAAATTGTCTAAAACCGTTGTGCATTATCTGAAAATGTTGTAAATAGTCTGAAAATGTTGTCAATCATATGAAAATGCTGTCGATTGAATAAAAATGTTCTTAGATGTCTGAAAATATTGTCGATTGAATGAAAATGTTGTAATTTGTTTGAAAATGCTATTGGTTATATGAAAACATTGTAAATGTTGTGAATTGTATTTCTATAAATGTTATGTTTAGATTGTTTGAGTAGGTTGTATATTTTCTGAAAATGTTCCATATTGTCTGAAAAAATTTGCAGGTTGTCTGAAAAAGTTATAGAAGATTGTATGAAAATGTTATCGATTGTCTAAAAAATATTGCAGGTTGTTTGAAAACATTGTGAATTATCTAAAAATGTTGTAATTTATCTGAAACGGGAAAAATATTGCAAATAGTAGGTCTAAAAATGTTGCAATTTTTTTTGAAAATATCGTAGAGCTGGTCTGAAAATATTATAGATTGTCTGAGAATATTATAGATTGTCTGAGAATATTGTAAATTGTCTACAAATGTTGCAAATTGTCTGAATATATTGTGGAGTGTTTGAAAATAAATATTATTTTAGACTTTTGTCAAGCTATTGCTAATATCAAACTGATATTTACAGAAAATTTACTGTGTGGGTCAAAAAATATATATAAGCAATAATAGTTTTTCTTTTTATTTTAAATCAATGAAATGATTTAATAGTAGGTCTAAAAATGTTGCAAATTTTGTGAAAATATCTTAGAGCTTGTCTGAAAATATATTGTCAGTGTATATTGTCTGAGAATATTGTAAATTGTCTAAAAATCTTGTAGATTGTCTATAAATGTTGCAAATTGTCTGAATATATTGTCGAATGTCTGAGATACGTTGTAGATTGTATGAAAATGATTGTCTAAAAATGTTGAAAAATGTCTTAATATATCATAGAATGTCTGAGAATGCTGTTGATTGTCTAATAAAATTGTAGATTGACTAAAAATGTTGTAGAATATCTGAAAACATTGTATGAATAGGTTGTAAATTGTATTTCTATAATACTAAAATTAAAATTAAAATTCAAATTATAACGGTTTTATTCTTACGGTTGCAAGATTTTCGCGATAGGTGTCTCCACAATCGCATTAACCTTAATGTCAAAAATTTCAGTGTACAAGGCCGACAGTGTTTATTTCAAGTTCAAAATTAATAAAAATACTCATAAATATATATAGTTAACTCTACAATTTCATTAACATTATCACAAATATCATATATAAAAATTATACATTAAAAATGAAAATATAACAAGACAAAGTATTTTTTTAAAATTAAATTAATTGTGTACTTATAAATTTAATATATTATTCTTTTACCAAGATGCAAAGTGCAAACGAGGGTGTACCAATAAGAACTCTGCCCAAGACTTCTGAACAATTCACATTTCGTGATTGGAATATAAATTACACCCAATCCCACATATTGCACAGTATGTGCACAAGTCCTACAAAATGCCAAGACACTCCCGAAGAAAAATGCTTATTATGCAGCTACAACGAAATATTAGAAATCCCTCATCTACCCGACATGGTCTTTCCTAAAAACGTTCTTGCTTTGAAATACAAAAACCATGGTACAATCACCTTCAATGCTTTGGATGCCCTAAAACGTGTCCGAGACATCCATAACACCAAAATAGCTTGTTCAGAGATGTGGTTGGAATCCCGTAAAGACAACCCTGATACTTTGGATACAAAAAAAATCAAACCGTTTGACTGGACGTTCTCCACTGATTACAAAGGTACTGTTAGTGAAGAAATAACTGTAGAAACAACTGAGGAAGAAATTAATTTGGATAAACTCAAAGTACGTGAGGAAATCCTTTTCTATCACGATTTAAGTTTGTTTGAAGATGAGCTGCATGATAATGGTATTGCATCGTTAAATGTGAAGATACGAGTTATGCCCTCAAGTTTTTTTATCCTTCTACGCTATTTTTTGAGAATAGATGAGGTCTTGGTGAAAATCAATGACACCAGATACTTTTATGAAGTTGGAAAGGATTATATAATACGGGAATACACATCTAAGGAGAACAAAATCGAGGAGTTAACTGTGCCAAAATATTTGCTTATAGAACCGAACGAGATTGCTAAGCATTTAAGTCTGCAAACAAAAATATGTGAAAAGCTTACATTACCCAAATCATAAAACTTAACGTTTTGATTCATGTTTTTTGTTTTTGTTATAATTTATTAGTGGGTATTTTTTATTGTAATATATGGCATAACAGTACTTTGTAAAAAATGTGAAATAAATTGAAGTTTTGATAAAATCATTATCTTCAAATATATAAATGTAATTACTATATCTCATTTGAAATAAAATTATTTATAAAAATCAAATTTGTTGCCTGAAAAGAAACAAACAAAAGTTTGACTTCAGGCAAGTTGCTTGAACTTCCCGATAAGTTTAATAAAAGATTCAATAAAGGATTTCAACAAAAGGTCCTCAAAAACAGCTCCGATTTTGTTTTTTTTTTCTAATATTTTTCAAAATCATACATTCCAGAAGTGGGAAAATATTATTTTTATTGTTAAAACAATAAAATGATATTTATATAAGGAAATAAGTTTTTGAATAATTTTCTTTGAAAGAAATTACTCGTGTATTAGTTTTCATGTTAAGAATAATTATTATAAGTTAAAAAATGTATATGCCCATAATAAATCAAATGGTTTTCAGAAGTGGCATTTTTATCAAAGTTAAAATTAATTGTTTTTCATCTAAAATTAAATATAATATAAAGAGTTTGATATAGGGAATGCAATACCGATGGAAAATTTCAATTCATTTCGGTAATTTTTCATTTTCAAACCGGAATACCGGTAAATTACCGGTATTTTTATTATCTTAAACAAACGTAAACAATATTGAAAGTTAGTAGTACAAATATAAAAAAAATGTATATACAACTACAACTATATTCAACTAACCAATAAAATAAAACAATAAGTTTATTTTTTTAAATAATAATTTAACAAAAGTATATGCAATTTAATTAATTCATTATCACTATCGAGTATATTGAGTAATTTTCGCCAAAAACAAACTTATGAGTATGAACGACCAAAAACTCATAAAAGATCATATTACATTATTATAATAAACCGTATTGTCTGTATCTGATGTGTTAAATTAGCATAATCTCCAATATTTTAAAATAATAAATTTTTTGCACTAATTTAAGATCGGATACTTTGTCGAGATAAATAATAAGTTACTATAATTGTTGAGTATTGTTATTTAAAACAATGTGATGCTTCTATAGTATTTTCAAACTTCGAAACGTTTTCGAAAAATAATATTTCACAATTGTAATAAGAAGCAAAAATATTTATTAATTATCATAATAATTATGTATAAAGTTAGAAAAAAAAAGAATACGCAGTGGTAATCTGTATGATATAAAATATTTTGGCGCAAATATCACTTAAAAAACCGTTACATTTTTACAAAAGATGAAACAAACATCATAATCTATAAGTCCAATTCTATTTATTGTAACACGATATGAAGCCCTTAGTAAAGCAATAAATATTCAGTTTAATGACGAGTGAGATAATATTCGACATTTGTTTATCCTATAGAATCACTTGAAGATATAGCTGTTTATGCCATTATGTAACTTAAAGATAAATTTGTTCCGAGAAATTTAAACTTTAGTGTATTATGTATCAAATAGCGCTTATGTAACAATACCGAAAATACCGGTATTTTTGGGGTAAAAACCGGTAAAAATACCGCCGAAAAATCGGGCGGTTTACCGGTAATTCGGTATACCGGTATTGCATTCCCTAGTTTGATATATTCTAGCATAAACATTTTTATACTACTGTTAACAGTATTTAGATACAATATTTATATTATTTTGTTTGTGATTCGAAAAATAATTAGTGAAAATTGATATTATCTTCAGATAAATTGAGGAAAAATCCGTTATATATAAGTCCATCAAAGAGAGTATTTGGATACAATTAGTATAATTTGCTTTGGGACACATTTTTCAAAAAAAAAATCACAAATTCAAGAATAAAACCAATTAGACTTTACAAAACCTACTTATTTGCATAAATTGTGAAAGATATATGCAAGAAATATATACATATCTACAATTACTGATTCATTAATTACCAGTTAATATTAACATATAACCCTCAATTACACAAAAATGTTCAAATCCTAACAATTCAAAAACCGCGCCATTTTCCACCATCAACAACTTCATGTGAAACCTTAAGCACCTGTCAAACTCTCATTAACATCAAAACACGACCAAAACAAAAACATGTCAAAAACAATAAAGCATAATTAAAATACTAATTAATATCCGAAATGGAGACTATTTATGAAAAACCTACAACAATTTGTCGAGTTTGTTTAGGCGATAAAGGAAAAATGCATTTTTTGTTCAACGACAAGCAACTTGCTGAGATATTAGTTTCTTGTACTCAAATACAGGTAAAAGATAAAGGATAATGGATAATTTACTTAGATAATAAGAAACATAAGAATATAGCTGATGTATGTGATTTTATTAATATAGTATTAATTTTTGACGTCTTACCTTAGGTTATGGCGGACGACGGTTTGCCGGAACAGATATGTCACACATGTTTTGCACAATTGAATAAAACACTTAAATTCATACAAAAATGTCGCGATAGCGACACCGTTTTACGACAAAAAACACTATCTCCTAATAAAGACAACAAAACACATTTAAACACTATAAATTCCATTACCATCTCAAGTGTTTCCAGCTCAAACTCCACTGAAGAAATCATCTTGAAAACTGATCCTGGTGTTGACAAGAGCAAACAGAGTGAGCAACACACCAAAAAAAATTTAACAAAATGTCAAACAAATAAACACACATGTCCTCAGTGCAATAAAGAATTAAAAACATACTCTTCTCTTAAATATCACCTGCAGTTGCATTCTGATAAGAATACTTATTTGTGCAGCCAATGTGGTGCCAGTTTCAAAACCAAAAACTCATACGATGGCCACATGGCAACACATGAAAGCGAAAATCCTCATGAATGTGATATATGTGGTAAACGATACAGGCAGGCTGCTTCGTTGAGGAATCATAAAATGACCCACACAGGTAATAAACTATAATAATAATTATAATTTTTTTTATTAGTTTTCCTCTAATATTATTTTTCTTTTAGGTGAAAGACCTCACCTCTGTATGATATGTGGAAAAGGCTGTATACAAAAAAGTGACTTCAAAAAGCACATGTTAACACACACAAATGAAAAATCATACATCTGTAATATTTGTGGCCAGGGTTATCGGTTTTCTCATAACTTAAAACTACATTTAAGATCACACTCTGGTGAAAAACCGTATCCGTGCACAGTCTGCAATAAAAGGTATATAAATAATAAATACAATTATAATATTACTTAGTTCATCTTGATTTTCTTTATAGATTTTCTGCTAAAGATCAGTTAAAGCGCCACTCCTTAATACACTCTGGAGAAAAGCCTTATCAGTGTAACTTTTGTTCAAAATCCTTTAATCGTGCTAGCACTTTGGCAGTTCATAAAAAAATACACACAGGACAACGAGACCATATTTGTAATGTATGTGGGAAAGGTTTTATACAATCGCATTGTTTAGCAGCACATATGAATACTCATAAGAAAGGCGAATTGAACAAAAAAGGTAAATAAAAGCTAGGTCATTTTGGTACACTATATATATATATATATATATATATATATATATAAATAATTATTGGATATGTTTTAGATCTGCCATCATCTGTGGATAAAATTAATGTGGCTGAAACTATTGTGAGACTTGTGTTAGATAATAAACAAATTGAAGATGTTAAAGCATTAGTCGATATAAATGAAATAGTTATAGAACCAGATATGCACATAGCAATATGAATACAATTTAGTATTGAGAAAAAATATTTGTACAGTATTTTTTATTGTTTTGTATTAATTTAATAAAATTTATATAATATTGCTAATTTATTTAATTTACTAGCAAATTGATATTTTAAACTAAAGTATGATGATAAATTTATTAAAAAATAATTTTATTACTCATGGTAATTATGAAACAATAGTTTTATATAATTTATAAATCAATTTACAGATAAAAATGGAAAAAAAGTCTCATGTTATTTATATTTAATATTGTATATAATGGCATAATTCAAATTTATCAATAAATAATAAATGCAATATTAAAATTCATTTATAATTTTAACAATATTAAAAGCATCTTCAAATTGAGGTATAAAATTGATGTATAAATATATTCAATAACAAAATACCTTGCAAGAGCAATTGTAAAGCCTTGTATATAATATGAAAGTATCGTGCCAGTGTTTACTCAGTCTTATTGGCTTCCTGAGCTTCAAATTTAGGATATTTTTGTTCCACATCTTTCCATGAAGTTTTGCTTTGAGATAAATCTCTTACGACATCAGCAATTTCAGACAACTAGATAGAGGAAATGAAATAAAGACATTTATATATATATATATATATATATATATATATATATAAGTACTTACAGGTACTCTGACTTGTCCCATGCTATCCCTTTCCCGTAACGTAACACTGTCAGTAGTCAACGTATCAAAATCAATTGTAATTCCTGCAAAGAATAAATTAAGAATATAAATATTAGGTTTAAATATAAAAACATTTATATAAATTTATTTGAACCTATACTGTTAGTGTTCGATATGTATCCATGTAAGAATATAACATATAGGAAAATATTACAATTATAGGTTAATTCTCTTGAATAAGTTTTTTTCAAGTATTATTTATATGGGATAAAAATCTGGAGTTATCTCAATTATGGTCCAAAAATTTGGAGTAGTATAATTTTTTAAAACTAAAATGAAGTGTAAATTCCATACTATATAGTAAATAAAAGTTAATACCAATTATAAAATATTGGTATTTATAAATTCTATATAATATTTTTTATAATTTTTTATTACCGTATGGAATTGCAATTTCATCAGTCCTAGCATATCTCCTGCCGATGGAGCCTGAAGAGTCGTCCACTTTATGAGACACATCCACTTTTGTCAGGGCACTCGCTGAAAACACACATATTAAATATTTAAACTTATTGATTTGATTTTATGTATAATTTATCATACGTACATAATTGTTTAACGTAAGGCACAAACTGTGCATTGCTACTCAAAGGAAGAACGGAGCACTTCAAGGGGGCGATGCAAGCTGGCAGTGACAGGTAGCTTCTCTGTTCATCGCCTTCTCGGGTGTTGAAATTGTGCTCGAAGAGGGAGTACATTATTCGACCAATACCTACAAAATAAATGATATATATACGAGGTGTGTTCAAAAAGTACCCGGAATTACTAATAATTAAATTTCGCGGGTCTGGAGTGTCTGATTGTCAAATTTTTTTTTTTATTGTGTTGGTATACATGCCCCTAAAGTATGATGAAATTTTCAGCTATATTCACTGTTTACTTTGTCTGTGGTAGTCGCTAAAGGTTCGACGTGTTTTTCTGAGCTCGGCGATTTTTACAATGGAAGAATTGAAAAGTCAAAGAATTTGTATTAAATTTTGCGTAAAAAATGAAATAAAGTGTTGCAAAGTGCAAAAATTCACCAGATATGGCTCCGTGTGACTTTTTCCTATTCCCAAAGTTGAAGAGACCCATGAAAGGACGGCGGTTTTCCTCGATTGAAGAAATAAAGGCCGAATCGCTGAGAGTGCTCAAGGACGTATCAAAAAGTGAATATCAAGGGTGCTTCGAAAATTGGAAAAAACGCTGGCATAAGTGTATTATATCTGGGGGGGACTACTTTGAAGGGGACCACATTAATGTAGACGAATAAATAAATATTTTTTTGAAAAAACGAAAATTCCGGGTACTTTTTGAACAGACCATGTATATATCTACATATATATAAAAATGAGTCGGGTTTTCCTTCCTGACGAAATAACTCCAGAACGCACGAACCGATTTCGACAATTTTAAATTCGTTGGAAAGGTCTCGGGCACCGCAAGGTTTATAGCTAAGAAAATTAGTGGTGCATGGCATCGTGCCCCAATGCAAATTGCTGGAACTTCACGCACCGTAATTAAAAATTCGAGTAATGACATTAGTGAGAATTATCAGAATTATGCTTGCAATTAAGTCAACGAGCAATTCTTGCGCAAAGAATAATGATGTACACGCACTGGAATTTCACCATTCAATAAAAAATAGCTGGCGATTTGGTATCATACCAATGATTCCGACTGGTCTTCCATTTGACTTCAAACGATTGCAATTTCCAGTTCGCCTTGCGTTCGCAATAACAAATGGCAAGGCCAATCGCTTAGTGTTTGCGGGATAAATTTCAAATAGATTATTTAGAAAATCATTCTTTTTCACATGGGCAGTTATACGTTGCCTGTTCACGAGTTGGGAAACCATCCGCTTTGTTTGTGTTAACGTTAGACCAAAAAACAAAAAATGTGGTTTACCAAAGAGCACTTCAATGAAACGGATAATTTGCGGATTCACTATCATTTACTTAGAGAAGTTCAACTAGAAAACACTTTATTTTTGTAATCGAAATAAATTCATTACTGTTGTGTAATAAAATCAAATTTTTTTCTTTTCAAATATAAAACAAACAAAAAATTTCTTCATCTTTCTCACGAAACCATCTGGTGGCGAAACGGAGTCCGTCGGGTTTGCTAGTATGTATATATATATATATATATATATATATATATATATATATGTCTATAAATATTTACCAAACGATGGTTCAATAACAGAAGGCACGATATCCTCAACATGCACAGTTTTCGTTTCACTTTTAACCGAAACCATGTCTTTAGTAAGTGTTATTTCACTTGATGATGGTAATGCAACTGTGTGTCCACTGAAAATATTAATTAAACATTAAAAACTATAACACAATATCATAGAGTAATTAATCCCATTTACCCATTTGCGAGATTCTTCTCCATGGTTCTGAGTTCATCCAGACTTAAATTAGCTAAAAGATCTGTTATAGCTTTAGCGTCTTTTTTGAAAGTTTTGCCTAATACTGATTTGTTGGGTACGGCTTCTACAACCTAAAAGAAAAATGATACATGAAATTGATAAATTACATATAAACAAAGCAAGGAATAATGTTATGATAATAAAATTCTAAATGGTGCAGTTATCATAAGATTATTCATTGCTTGTTTATATGTAAAATACGCCTGATCGCACAGCAAATAGATTTACATTTTCATAATTTTCACTACCAAAAACGAGCATAAAAGAGCTTTGCCATGACAACGCTATTTTATGAACTCTATCACGGCAGAATTACCCCGTAAATGTATCAATTTCATGTTTATCTTACCTCAACACTTTTAGGTTGTGGTAAAGTCTTCTCGGCAGCCAGTTTAACACCGGTGGCTTTGTAATGTTGTGTCAGATCGTATGCAGATCTATCGGCACAACCGACACACTCCACCCAACCCTGAAAACAAAACAGCACATAAAAATTAATTCAATAGATAAGATTGGATTTTTTCAATATATCAATTGTTTCTTTTCCGAACAGTAAATCCAATAATGAAAAACAATTTGTTTTTTGAAGATGTTTAATAACGACGTTTCGGAATAAGATACGTTCCATCATCAGGTTTATTCTGTCAAAGACAATGTTTTTTAAAAGCTATTGCTTGATATTAATTAATGATGGTCATTACAGATTATTTAGAACAATTATAAAGGAATGGATTATGTACCAGTGTGAAGAGTAAAAAAAAGTAACTAAAAAAAGTTTTTATATAATATTGAGAAGCAAAAATTATTTACCTGTAATAATTCATATACCCATATCAGTAATATTTTGTTAAAAACACTCGTTTTTTCGAGAATATTTGTAAATGTGACTTCTCAAGACTTTGTAACATACTGTAATAAAGTTCTTTCAGCCAAATTGTGTCAGCTTCGTCAAATTGTGTTAATAAAAGATCAGATCATAATATCGTTCATGATTTGTATCTAAATTTTTTAAACCTAATTAAAAACGATTAATCCTTTAATAATTTTGTGTGTAAATATACATGTATATATGTAGTAATATATGCACATCCATATATGTGCTTATATGTATGTTTTTGTATATACACTATAAACATGTACTTGCGTGTAAGTTCGTGTATATAATTGTATGTACATGAATATATGGATATATGCATATGTATGTATGTGTATGTAGGTGTGTATATGTATGTACATGTATATATACATAATAATATTTCTCAGCATTTGCTAAGGCAATGCATTCCCATTTTTCGTAAATTACCAATACAAGAGCCATAAAAAATTATTTTCGCCTAAGTCCGTTTATATTGCCTACATCTGGCCGACAGAACTTCATTACAGTGTGTTACAAAGTCTTGTGAAGTCAAAAACATTTACAAATATTCTCGAAAAAACTAGTGTTTTTAACAAAGAATATTAGTGATATGGATATATAAATTATTACAGGTAAATAATTTTTGCTTCTCAATTTTATATAAAACCTTTTTTAGTTACTTTTCTTTACTCTTTACACTACTGCATAATCCATTCCTTTATAATTTTTCTAAATAATCTGTAATAACCATCATTAATTGATGTTAGTCAATAGTTTATAAAAAAACATTGCCTTTGACAGAATAAACCTGATGATGGAATATATCTAGTTCCGAAACGTCGTTATTAAACATCTTCAAAAAACATAAAATTTAATACACTATATATAGTGTATTAAATTTTATGTTTTTTGAAGATGTTTAATAACGTATAATAAACGTATTTATATATAAATACAAAATCAATTTCGTTTAAATTTTATGTTTTTTGAAGATGTTTAATAACGTTTAATAAACGTATTTATATATAAATACAAAATCAATTTCCAACTTACATAACTTGTGAGACACTCAGCATCCCAGCAATCGCATGCATAATGTGCCATTTCATTTCCCATATGTTGCCTAAATCTTAACCTGGTTGGATCGATACCAAGTTTATGCAAAAATTGTTGTATGCGGGCCATGAAGTAACCCAAAGTCTCATTGGCAACTAGACCCTAAAATAAAAGATACACAGATAATAAATATCTTATATATAAAAAATGAATCGCGAAATGTGTTGGTAAGCGCATAACTCTACAACGCCTGGACCAATTTGGTAAATTAGTTTTTTAAAATGTTCGTTCAAGTCCAAGGATGGTTCTTACGGCGAGAAAAATTCGAATAATCGTCGGGAAAACCCTAAAAACAGCCCTTTCCTTTTTCACATACAAATGTTTTCTAACCGGAACGTAGAATCAATTTGAGCTTTATTGCTATTATAAAAAGTTCATATTAAATTACAAGTACTGACTGTATACTCCACCTAAACGATTATTCGGATTTTGATAAATCTTTCTGAAGCATGTTAAGGAAATTTTCTAGGATGTATGTAATTATAAAGTACTGAGATGTATGTGCAATATTGTAGAAATAAATGGGAAAAATTGCAAAAAACGACATGTCATTGTTTGCATTGAAAACAAATGAAAACTATCATCTGCCAAAAATTTCAATTTACTTATGAACCTAGACAATATTAGAATATGTATAATAAATTTATGATTATGAATAAGAAAAATGAAATGTCTACATTATTATTGCCAAAAAGCAGCTGAGATGTGCCAGAAATTAAAATAATATAAGATACAGTATATGTGTGGCAGATCGAATGATACACATATGAACAGAATTCGACAAATTAATTCACTTAAAACATGAAATTAAGTATTAATCAGGGCCGGTCCTACCTTTAATGCGATGCATGCGAAAAATACGAGTGCACGCCTTAGGGGGCGCCAACACAAGATTCGAATATTAAATTTTCAATATAGTTTTTTTTTCAATATATAATTTCTTTGCATCTTTTACTAATCTTTCGACAATATTTTTAAAATTCGTAAAAATATCACTTTATAAAAACAAATGGGAAAGTAAAGATGAATACATACAATTCGGACCTCACGATATCGATTAGGAGAAGTTTAAGATGCAATTTTGGATATATTAAATAATAATAAATTAAATTAATTTAATCCAACATGAAGTACCAGTGTTATAGTATGGTTATGGTTATGTTATACCGTTTAAAAGACTTCAATTTCCAAAATAGTGTGGGAATCGAGACTCAACATTTTATTTAAAGCAGTTCTACATTTAACATCGCGAATATTATAAATGTATATGCATTTTGGCGTGGAGAGTAATTTAAAAAACAATAATTATTATTTTTAGGTAAAGGGTAAATATTAGTATATTATATTAAAAAATTGTAGACATGGGTACAGGACAACGTCTGCCGGGTCATCTAGTATATATATATAATCAGATATATCATTTGATTCCATATTACTGACCTTTTTGACAGCTTCCCCGATTTTAACTCTTTCAGCACTCTTTCCATCCATCTGATTGCAAGCCGAATACAACACCATTTCAACTTCTGCAACATCAGAGAATTTTGGATGAGACTTATCGTTGGGGTCACAGAAATGTTCAATTTCAGCCATGGTGAATTCTCTGACACGGATCAGACCACTTCTGGGTGATATCTCATTCCGGAAAGCATTACCTGGGAAGAAAGAAAAGGATTACTTTTAAAACTCTGGTGGATTTATCGATTTCTTTCAAATATTACCTAAAAATCAAAATCCATATTCATGAATATAAATAAGAAAAGTGTAATATCTACAATATTATTGCCGAAAACCAGCTGAGATGTGCAAGAAATTAAAATAATATAAGATACAATATATGTTTGGCAGATGAAATTATATAATTCAGTTTAATAAATACGTCCAAAATTGCATATACACCTAAGTCTGTTTTTACACGGTAGATTGGTTCCAGAACAAGCCGTGTAAAAAAAAAGTGTAAAAAAAGACATTGAACTTATACAAAAATGGGTGATTTATTCCTAATCTCTAAAAGCTATTAAAATTAGTGAAAAACAAGAATTTTTAAGAACAAGAATTCATGTTTATTTTATTAAATCAAATATATAATTCTAATACTCTCGATGGTTTCAGACTTTTTTCTTTCATAAATACTTTTTTGTGATATCAACATACTTCGCAAAAACTAAATTTGACAAAAAAAAATTTAAGTACATAAAATTTCAAATCGTGCTAAATGGAATAAAATCGTGTAAAAAAATTAAAAATATTCAATTTTCAAACCGTGTACAAAAAGACCGTGTAAAAACAGACTTAGGTGTACATTATTTTTTTAAACTCACGCATGTCGTATTTTGCTTTACTTTACTAAATTATTTAAATACAAAAGAATATTTCTACTTATTGAACAAATAACAACTAGATTTTACAAATTAATTCACCGATTTCTTTCAAATATTACCTATTTGTGCTGCCGCAAATGGTAATTTTCCTTGATTAAATTCCAAGAGACGCTTGAAGTTTACAAAAATGCCTTGAGCGGTTTCTGGTCTCAAAAAACTGTAAAAAAAATTATTGTTTTATAGCGAGTGCTATTCTAATATTTATTATATATGTATTTATTTTATTTTGTTACCCTTTAACCAGGCCAGTGGGTCCAATTTGGGTTCCAAACATCAAATTGAACTCAATCGGTTCTGATAGTGGATTTTGGGTAAGTGGGCTTTTGATGTCGAATTTTTTCATAACGGCTGCCATTTCGTTGGAGGTCATTCCATCCAACTAAGAAAAAAGTAATTGATATTAAACCAGAAATTTACATGTATTTCTATTTTTGAGGTGAAACTTCTGATGCTACATGCAAGATGGTTGCTTTATTCAATAGGAGAATTTTCTGAAATATTTGTAAATTATCTAAAAATGTTGGAAGTCGCCTGACAACGTCCTAGGTTGTTAGAAGTCGTCTGAAAACGTCCTAGATGGTCCAAAAATGTCAGAAGTCATCTGAAAAGATCCTAGACCGTCTAAAAACATTCTACATTGTCATAAAACTATCTAAATCGTCTGGATTGTCAGAAAATGACCTATAGATCGTCTGAAAACGTCTTGAATTGTCTGAAAATGTGGGAAGTCGTCCAAAAACGTCGTAGATTGTCGGAAGTCATCTAAAAATGTATTAGGCAGTCTCAAAACATCCTAGGCTATCTGAAAAGGACATTTCAACTACGATTTATTCAAAATTTCAATATACAAGTGTATATAACAGATTTTACCAGATTTTAGTAAATTTTATCTAGTTTTCACCAATGTTAATAGAATATAAAGTCCACAAAGAAAATTTAAAGTTATTTGACGCAAAGTAAATAAATGTCCTAAATACATATATTGCAAAATATGGATGCAAACTAAAATCTGCATTTTGATTACGAATTGTTCAAAATGTTGTTACACAAATATATACAAAAGTTTTCACTAAATTTTAGTAAATTTTATCTAATTTTTACTGATGTCAATAATTTATATAGTCCCAAAAGAAAATTTAAAGTTATTTAATCAAATGCGAGAAAATCTAAATCCATTTATTGCAAAATATGAAAGTACTAAAGTCTGCATTTCAACTACGATTTATACAAAATTTCAATATACAAGTGTATATAACCGATTTTACCAGATTTTAGTAAATTTTATCTAGTTTTCACCAATAGAGACAAATTATAATGTCTGAGAAGAAAATTAACAGTTATTTGAACAAAAGTAGAAAAATATAAGATAGTACGTCAATGAGTAATAGTATTTGCGTACATAATAGTACGAGAGTATATAACCATGTTTGTAAATATAATAGTACATGAATGAGTAATAGTATTTGTGCACATAATAGTACGAGAGTGTTTGTAAATATAATATAGTACGTCAATGAGTAATAGTATTTGTGTAAAAAGTGACTCAACATACTGCATTAGTTTTTTCTTTTTTATATATTAACTATAGTAGATACACCACTGGGCGTATGTGCTAATTTGTAAACAACCAATTGTAAACACTTGTCAGCATTCTCTGCTAAATATAATTATTTTTATAGATTGCAGAATAAAAATAAAATAATAAAAAAAAAAAAAAAAAAACATACTGCATTTTTTTAAATAATAAATTTATCAAAAGTTCCCTCAGTTGCAGTAAATGTATCAGTGATTATTGCAATTGTTCTTGGTTACAATTATACAATAATTACATTATAATTTAATTGATTAAAGTGTATGAAAAAAATTACAGTACAGGCCAGAAAGGTACTAATGGGCATAGTAATATTTGGCAGTAATTTAATATTTAATTAAGAATGATCAATTAAAATTACTTGCCACAATATACTTTCAAAGCGGCAATAAATATTTTAATTCTAAAATACATGTTTATCGATCATTTATAATTATTACCTTAACTACGATATCAGTGCACTCCGCCTTAACAGCATCGGTGACCTTAGGATCACTCGAAACCTTTTCCAAATGCGCCTTGATCAGATGATCCAATCTGAAACATTCGCCAGTTTTCAAATCCTTCACCATCAAATCTGCAAAACGATCCACGTGTCCGGAAGCCCTGAAAAAATATTATAAAAATAAATAAGAGACCTTTAATTTTTTTGCTTTATGGATTTATAAGAGTCAATTTAAGAAATATTTGAAATATTTAAAATTTTATAAGAAAAAAATATATAAATATAAATAAATATATTACTTGAGTACAGTTTCTGGTGTCAGGACAGAACAGTCGACCTCTAACATTTGTTCTTCCAGGACGAAGAATTGGCGCCAGGCTGCCAACATGTTGGCTTTGAGGGCGCAACCCATTGGTCCGAAGTCGTATTGGCCTAAAAAAAAAAAAATTGAAATTAAAATAACATAGAATCGGAAGAGAAAAAGATAAAGAAATAAAAAAAAATATAAAAAATAGATGTATATTAAAGATCTAACAAAACTCGAGCAGTAAAAGTATTTTATTATAAAATAAAGAGATACTAATAAGATATAGCATTTTTTCCCTAAAAATGTAAATATTTGGCATATTTGTGAGAAAACATATACATTTTAGGTATGTTTTTTATAGTAAACATATAACATCTCCAGTATAACAAACCATCAGAATTTAAATATTCTTAGATATCCAAAACTAATTTTAAGCAATATTTTTCATATACATGTTGTCATTACATTTTTTTTTTAAATTTCAAATATCTCAAATATTCGTTAAATGATTCATCATATATATAATTTTTTTTTAATAAAATCCATATTTAAGCAACACATACTGAAATACTAATATTCAAAAATATCCAAAACTATTTTTAAAAAAATATGAAACTTTTAACTCTTCACTTGACTTTAATTGGACAAAACTCTCCTTCGTTAAAATGTATCTTCTTCATGAAAATGTAAAAATCAGAAATATTTGTGAGAAAACATATTAGTTTTAGTATTTGTGTCTTTAGTAGACATTACAAAGAATAATATATTGAAATTACAACATCGTGTAAGAATCCTAAACTATTTAAAAAAAAATCAAACTTTTCTCTTTCACCTTGCACTTACATATATTGCTGCAAATGCATTTTTCTTGTAAAATTCTAAATATCTCAAATATTTGTTAGATAACTATCAGTTACATTATTTTTTTGTAATATAAGACATATTAAAGTATAACATACTAAAATTCCAACATTGTAAAATGTACAAAACTATTTTAAATAAAATTTCTTTCCTATCTTATTTCCTAAAAATATCAGAAATATTTGTGAGATAAAATATTACTGGGAAATGAATTCTAAGTAAAAATACTGTTCTTTTCTTTGAATTCAAGAAAAAAAATTCAAGAATCTGATAAAGCTGCAAAATATAAATACAAATCAAAAAACAAGAAAATATTAAAATCAAATTATTTTTTTTGAAATTTCATAGAAAATAAAATAATAATACAAATTTTAATTTTAATCTTTCAAGAGTAAAGTGAATTCTTTCAATTATAATTATTAATTGAATAAAAAATGCACAAATGTAATATTCTATGTGCTTTCTTTAAAGTTTTTGAAAAATTATGAAAAGAAATACAAATTATTCTTTGAGAAATAAACAAAGACTTTTTGGTTCACAAACATAAAATGTTAGTGTATATATACATAATTTAAATGTTAATAATAAAATCATAAAGTATTCCTTAAAAATGAAATTGTATTCAGAAATCTCCCATAATCAGTTCTAACTAAATTCATGTATGAGTATAATATAAAGCTTAATATTATTTGTATATAAGTATATATAAAGCTTAATATTATTTATTTGTATATATAAACTTTAAATTGTTAACTCGTTTTTTTTTAATCTTTAATACTCATTTTAAACCGAAATAACCGGCATTTCAAATCCACAATTTAATTTATTAGATCAAGAACATTAAAGGCATATAAAATCCATAAAAATATCATAAATAATATTAAAAATCTACTAAGTCATATATTCAATCATATTTTCCTTTTTCCAATGACTCATGCAAAATATATTTTTTACTATAACTAATTGATAACCATAATATAAATATTTAACAAAAATCAAATTTGCAAATTGCTTTCAGATGATATAATTCTCAGATTAGAAATTAAAACAATAATGTTATTGCAAATTCAAAATTAAATAAATGAGCCATATCATAAAATAACAAATGTGAGTAATTTCACAAAACAAATAAATAAATTAAACAAGTGCAAAAATTAATAATACAAATGATACTAGGCATAGGCATATTTCAGTTATCACATTTACCTGATTTTATTTGAATGCTTTCGCTATATAATAATAATAATGATAAATGATATAGGATTGTTTTGTGAATATTTCCGCAATATAATAATCTCATGATTTTTAATAAATGTGTTATCGTTTGATAATAATATTATATTATAATCGGAACGCGTAACTTGTTATGTCAACTATTAAATCTCCTTAGAGAAATGTTTACGAATAATTAGTGCAATTCGAGCAGAGGTTCTAAAATCGAAAGAAAAAGATTTTATATAATATATATTTAACACTAATCAAAACTTAACGAGTCCTATGAGTTTTGGCTTTATACATGGCAACCCAGATGGTTGTCCTATCTTTAAGGACCACAACTAGTGTGAAATTTTAAAAAAATCGAATTTTCAATTTTTTCATATTTCGATAGGTTATTGGGGGGCTAATTTGTAATTTGGACAAAAAATTAGCCCCCCCCCCTCTCCCGCCAAATATCACGTATATTTTTGTTACGAGAATAAATTGTAAAATATTTGATTTTTTTGACAATGTTTGAATTTAAAAAGGAAAATCAGGTAAAAAATAAATACACGTGATATCTTACTGTACCCCTCCCCCCCGCGTAATATTTTGTAATATTTTGTCAAATTCTTCTGAGGACCTCACGTGATTAATGGACGCCCATCAAGATTTATAATGTATAACCGTTATGCTTCAAAAAATAAAAATTATCAAAAATTTAAAAATCTAATTTCGTCAAAAATTATCTTTAAGGCACGATGTCATGCTCCACTAGTTATTTTGTTAATAAGAAAATTATGATATAAGAAAACTTTTACGAGAGTTGTATAATGATATTGCTTGAACTGACAAAACGTCAATGATCAAAATGAACAATGCATTAAAAAAATAATTAGTGGTGTGTGGCATCGTGCCTTAAGGCAAATTGCTGGAATTTTCCGTACCGTAAGTTCCAAATCTTGGTGCGGAATTGAATTGAACGGAACCCAAAAAAAATTACACAAAATCTGTACACATTATTAAAATCTCTAAAAAATATCTGATAATTTGATGTACATACGTCCAATAAACATTTTTGACCGCCAAATGGCATTTTTTTAACTTATTTTTATTGAGAGTCCATAACCGCTGGGCCTGTCTTTTCAAAAATATAATCAGTTCTTCATTTTGTCCACATAAGTAAAATGTTTTTTGAATTATTCCAATCGGACGCTCCGTTGTTCTCTTAAAAAACTGAGTTACCATTTTTGGCACTTTTTGCCCAGTGTCTTCGAAACGGCTAGACCTGCCTATGGCAAAAACTAATCAGCACGTCTCCTTAACAACAGCAATCGAATGTTTTTTGAATAAATCAGTGGAACCGTGTTCCTGATATCGGCGACAAAAATTTGTATCCGCACACGCGCACACACACATACACATATACACACACATACATCAATTTTTTCTATGGTATGCCAAAATATTCAGAAACCTCTGAAACGTAAAGATATTAAAAATTTTCATTTTCGATTGTTTTGCGATTACTATAACTTACCCTACGGGAAGTTAATTATTGAGTCCCATATTAAAAAAGTCTTCGATTTTTTAAAAGAAATCCGATCTTACTTATTTGCGCACCTAAGATACGAGTAAAATGGCTAACATCTTATAGTTAAAGTTAACATATAATTCATAAAATTCAAAGATCTAATAGATCCATGAATGTCACATAAGGCAATGAAGTCAGGAAAAAAAAATATCTTTTTTTTCTATTGTTTCAACAGCAATCAGAACTCTTACATGTTCTCTAAGCTGTTTGTTGAAGACTTATGACCTAACATATTTTATGAGATGCAACCCATGGGTTTACCATTCTCCTATCTGTGGGGTTTATATATCTCTTATGTCTAATTTTATTTATTTATTTATTTATTATTTTACAAGCCGTCGGTATAATAATATTATAATAAGGCTTAAGTCAATATTTTATAGGTTTAATATAATTTAATTAATTATTAGCTATTTTATTATTTATTATTTAATTTATTTACTGTAAACTTATTTATATTTAATTAATTATAATTATTTTTAAATATAACTAGTTTGTTTGTTGCAAGTATTTTTAAAAATTTAATAAGTATTTAATAAGCTTTACAATACTTTTACAATATAAATATTTTATTTAACAAATTTTATGTTATTTTATGATATTTTAATAAATTTAAGTGTCTTATTTTATTGTAATCATTATTATTATTATTATTAATATTATCATTATCATTTTTATTATTATTGTTAAATATTTTTACAAAATAATTTTTTTTCTTTTACAAATGTTTAAGTATTTTGATGAAGGAAATATTTGTTTCACAATTTTTTAAGTGTTTTTAAAATATAAGTTTTTGGTCAACTAATTATTAAGTAATTAAGTAAGTAATAGTTATCATATGATTGAATGATGCAGCTATGTCCACGGTCCACGAAGGACGATTTCGACTAGAAATTATATTGTGATCTATAACCCCAAGTAAAAAATTGACATCAAAGTTGCCTGGTGGCAAAAAGGAAATATGGTGTAAAAAATTCTAGTAAAGATCAAAATACCACAAAATTGAAAGTAAAACTTTATATATCCTTTACATAAAATAAAGATCTTCAAGAATCTCACGAAACCATCAACCCCCAGTATCGTCCCAAAATACCTGGCAAGTGTGTCCACTATCCATTAAGTTTGAGAAGTGCAAAACAAAAATAACGAAATATCTGCACCGAGCGCACGTCCGTAAATGTTTTCCCATAATTAATCGAATCATTAGATTATAATTCCAAACAGAAATTTCGATACAAATTTCCGAAGAGAGAGCGAGAGCGAGATGAGAGTTTACAAGATATGAGACAGAATCGTGCGACACAAAGGCGGCCCTCGTCTCGTATAAAAGGAGCCCGGGTCGCTACGAACGCGTTAGTTCGAAGACGCCATTTAAACAAGTAATAAATAGATTGGTTTGGTGTTTTTTGAAATTCATTATTTAGTAGTTCGCGATGATGAAGAATAAATTCACGACGACACTGTTGCTTCTTT